TCCCAGGACCCTGGGATCATGACCTGAGCTGAAGGCAGACGCTTAACCATCTGAGCCACCCAGGCGCCCGACCATCCTTCTTGAGAGAATTTGCAGTCACCAAGACTGAAGCGAAATGGTTTCTTTTTACCTAGAAAATTCAGTGACTCATCCCCCTTGATCTTCTCAGCTCTGCAGGTTACCAGTGTGGAGCCAGAGAAGGAGAAACAGTGCGGGAAAGAAGAGAAGGAGCTGAGAGGATACTGGAAGCTGATCGTCCATCTTCTCAACAATGTTTCTGAGTGGCCATCTCCGTGTGAGGCACCAGTGATAAAGAAGTGAAGAAACAGTCGTAGCTCTCCCGGGAACTTCACGCCGGCTGGGGAGTGAGGAAGGTCATCAGGCAGTTATGATGCAAAGGGGATGTGGTAGGGGCTGAGCAGGGGCTGTGGGGGAGAGCCTACAGCAGGCACAGCTCATCTTGGCTGAGGCATAAGGGCAGGCTTCCTGGAGGAAGAGACTTCTAGACTAAAGCCTGGATGACAAAGAGGAGTTGGTGAAGCCAAGGACAAGCGGGGGGAGGAGGGGGGGCGGTTAAAAGATGGTGTCAGGCAGGGACAGCATGTGCGAAGATCCAGAGGCAAGAGCGAGAATATTATTTTCAGGATGCTGGTGATGTTGGGGTTGATGACTAAAGCTTTACCTAAAGGGCAATGGGGAATCACTGAGGGCATTTAACTAAGGGAGTCACTTGCTCAGATTGCTTTTCTTAGAACGCTGGGGCCGCAGTGATCTTTTGCAAAGAGAGAGGGACAGAGAAAGGATATGGGAGGCAGGGAACGAGGGCAAAGGCTGTCCCTTCAGGGCTTTGAGAGCCCATTGATGGCCCTCAGACTCATGCTCTGAGACCACTAGGGAGGTGGGGAGATGGTGCCCTGTAACAGAGGGTGGGCAGTGTGCTTTAAGTCCTCATTTCTGGGCCTCAGCCACTGAATTTGTAGAGTAAAGTGAAATACACTTCTCTCCAAGGGCTGTTGAAGCTGCTGGATGGGAAAACAGATCGGTGAGCTCACTATCTACAGGCATATTCTGTGCCGATCTCAGTTACTGAGTACCCGGCTCACCACCAGTCACAGGTGGGCATTTCAGAAGGGCCTTCTGATGACAAGAAGGGTGGCTACTGTCGCCCCAGAAGTGACACAGATTAGATAGGAAATGAATGACAGGGACGTTTCAGAAAGTCACGACGTGTCCATGGCAAAGAAGAGGGTGTCAAGCCCCAGGGAGGTGCAGCGGGCTGGGAAGGAAGCACACTGACCTGACGCTCAGGGGCTGGTCACGGTGTGGTCCCCGCGGAGCGCCTGCAGCGAGAGCTCATACCCAAGGAACATGGCGGCGCTCATGGGGAAGCCGCGCACAGTGTTCACCGTGATGCCTCTAAAAAACACCTGTGACAGGAGGCAGCGTTATCAGAGGACTGACCCAGACCCTCTGCAGCGCCACCACGGAGGTGCAGAGGACGGACTGGGGATGTTGGCCACTTGTCCCAGGCTGGACTCTATAGAGCCCAAAGGACCCTTGCAAGCCTAAACCACCCCGGATGCCGCAGTCATGCCCCTGCCTCGACCCACATCCCCTGGGACTGGGCTTTTCCTCCCAGGCCTGGTGCACATACACTAAATACTGGGGGCAAACTGTTGACCATGAACACCCACATACACTTGCTTAATTGCGGCTCTTTCTCATGTACGTACCCACACGCACACGCACGCACACGCATGCACACACAAGATTCTCTGGAACCTGGACGTCCGAGCTCTCCACTGCACTCACTCTGCAATGGCGGACAGAGCAACCAGGTGCTTCATAGGATGTCCCCCAAGGGGCAGAGCAGGGAAGAACTCAGGCCATACTTTTAGGCATGAAGTGGAGACACAGCTTTGGCATTCGATAGCTGTGTTACTTGGGCAAGTGGCAAAGTCTCTGAAACTCAACTTCCCAACTGCAAAATGGGGTAACAATACTATTGAGCTGATATGACTGCTGAAGGAAACGAGATGATGCTTTCAAAGCTCTTACACCGGGCCTGCCATGCAGCCAGCGTTCATGAACTGCTGACGGCCCCATCACCCTCATTGTTAGCAGGAGCCATCCTTACGCCGAGTGACACTCAACCTTCGGTCATTAGTATGAGTGCCGAGGGGACTGGCCTGTATCAATGAGCTGCTTAACTCAGCCATTCATACGAGAACCCTGTATTTGTCTTCTATCCCTCCCATCACTAGGGCATATGATAAGATGCTTCACTTCCTCCTTGAGTCGTCCTGCCTAGTGCTGGGTAGAAACTGGTCAGTGTAATGTGGTTCCAGCCCTTGCCCAGTTTAAAACCTACTCGGAGGAGATAAGCCCCATGTGGGGATAATTACAATACAATCTAGAATGTGATGAGAACAGATCAGGGCTTTGGGGGAGAAGGGACCTGTCCTTACATGTCTTCCCTGGGAAGAGACAACACATCTAAAGGAAACCCTACCCAAGCATAAAGGACCCAAGAACTGCCAGGAATACGACGTACACCTGTTTGCCGACTCCTGTATATTTACTAAGTGTAATAAATAGAACCGGTAGTGTAATTTTGAGGAAGTAGAAATCCAGCCCTTTTACATTTCCCCAGTTTCCTTGGTTGTGAGGCACTGTGGTGTCAGGGTAGGAAGAGGCCACTGTCGTCGGCCAGGATGTCACGGGGTCTTCAGGAGGGGCACCTGCACCTTAGAACTCCATGGCAGCCTGCAAGACACAGCCTGGTTGTGGTGGGGGGAGAATGGCCTCTGTGGGTTTGGGGGAAGCCTTACCCCTTACAGGGAAGGGAGCTGATGGACAAGGACCCCAGAGGGGAGCAAGAGGTTCAGCCAAACCCTGGAGTGACTCAGGCAAGGGGCAAGCAGGACATTTGTAACATCTAATGTCTAACCTTTCTGGAATTCCCCAGGCTCACCCAGAGTGACTGAATAACAGCAAGGAACTGGCCCAAGCTCCAAAAGGAAAATTCCACACTGGGTGCCCATAAACACTCCCCTGTGGGCCTGGGCTTGGCTCTGCTCTATAAGGTCATGCCAGGCAGGGCCCAGCTTGGAGTGTGGGCCGCCTCTCCCACAGTGCTGGGCCCTGCGGGAACCATGGAACACTCCAGACATACAGACATGACCTCCCTCCAGCAGCCCTGGCCTGATCTGCTGTGAGGTCCAAAGATGGCAAAGTGCAGACCTGCTGGCTCTTACCCTGAGCTCTTGGAACACAAAACCACCAGACCTAGTCTCTCCTCATGAAGCCTCGATGGCTCCCCACTGCCCAGGGAAGTCTACACGCTTCCCTGGCCTGCCAAGACACTTTTGCTCGGGCCCTGCACTTTCTCTGGGCAGCCTCTTACACCTGACATTCTGGGCACGTTAACAACCTGTCGTTCCTCCAGGGAGCCAGCTCTCTTCCACCACTGGGTCTCTTCTATTCCATCGGCTGTAATGTTCCCCAGCCTGGCTGCACTCTCCAGCAGTCTTCCCAGGGCCACCCCAAGCTGGACTGTGACTCGCTGTCTTCTGTGCACTCAGGATCTCTGCCATCACAGCACTTCTCACACTGTCTCTACCCACCCATCATTTGTCTGTACCCCCATTAATAACCTCAGGGCAGTGAGAGCAGGGCTGTGTGTGGTTTACCTTAGAACCCCCAGCATCTACACCTCTGAATCCCCAACATCTACACCTCAGAACCCCCAGCATCTAATGCTTTTCTTGGCCCAGAGGGCCCTTTGTAAGTCTTACTAAATGAATCAGTGGATGGATGAATGGATGGATGGAATGAACAAATTCCTTGTTGTGAAAAGGAAACAGTCTCTGAGCTGAAAGAGTCCTGCTGGTGTTAGTGGTAGTGGGGGATTCCGGGAGTGGAGGGATGGCTCCAGTCCCCAGATGGCAGAACCAAAGGGCAACCAACTCTGCTGCCTCAGGAAACGGCTCTTCCTACAAATGTTCCTCTCCACCTCTCCTTACTGTCTTTCAATCTCAAGCCACTGTCACAAACCCCCTCCCAACAGTCACCTCCATGCAGCTGAAGGATACCAAGTCCCACCTCTGGCCTCCTCATCTCAGACAGTAACCCTCCCAGTGTGCGCAATGGCCCAAGTGGCCCATGACGAATGTCACAGCAGGCAGAGAACGGACTCACAGCAGGGAGAGAATGGACTTCTTTTTGGATTCGGGGATGCCCCCAAAGTCCTAGACTTCTAATTCCCTTTATCAAAAAGGCTGCTTTCCCAGTAATCATTAAGCGGGTTACAAGGAACTGCCAAACTTGGGTACCATCACCATTATTCTACTCTTTCCCAAGTCTTCATTCCCACTGAGTTCTCCGTCCATAGTGCAGCAGGGACAGGTGGGCTTACCCTGCCTCAATGAGCCACAGTACAAACTGTTTGGGAATGATGCTCCACAGAGCCGGCCGCACAGTCAGCTGGGACGGGAGCCATCCACTGGGCCCCCAGAAAACCCATTCCTCCTGCTGCTGGGAAGGGCTATGAGACAAGCCAGCTGTCCAGGGCTATGTGGGATGTTTTCTTCATGCTATCGTTTATGTTTCCATGCAAACACATATATAAACATACAGCACAGTCCGTGAATATTTTTGGAATATAAGAAACTCACAACAGTGATTGCCTTTGAGAGAAGACTGAAGACCAAGGAGGGACAATTAGACAGTATATCCTCTTATATCTTTTGAAACTTCCTATGTTCATGTATTATCTATTTTTAAAACCAACTAATAAAAAAATTAAAAATGACTTTCAGTCAGTGAGTGGTTAATCCAAGCTGAATACTGCTGCCGCTATTTAAAACCTGTCTCTGGGGCGCCTGGGTGGCTCAGTTGGTTAAG